TTGACTGCTAGTGGCAGGGAGGCACCGAGGTGACTGAAGCACTGGGAGAGTGCAATTTTCTTGTTATGCAACATACTTCACAGTTCACACTATAGGCCTGGCGGAGTTTAATTCGGGGAGTAATGTGATCAGTTTTGCTTTGTAGAGAGAATGTTTTTGAAACACAGGGAGAGATGAAATAGAGCAATGATTACCGCATGATTCCAAACACAAGCATGCTGCAATTTGTTGTGAGGTTTTTCACAAATAAGTTATTTTTTTGTGTGAGGAATGCCACAGTTTGTAAAAGATATTTAAAAAAAAATAGTATAGATTCAAAGTTATTCTAATTGTATCACCCTCACTTGCAGTGCAGGCTTTCTGCCACTAGAAAGCAGCCCTGTAACAGCTAGGCTGTTGGGAATCCCATAACAGTGGGAATTTGTCCTACACGAGCTTCATTCATCCTTTGTGTACTGGCAGAGGTAATGCTGTGTGTTTCCCAATCCTATTTTTTAAATTTTTTCTTGCAATGTAGAAACTCTACATTTTCCAGTTTCCACTGGCATTGATTTGGGTCTGTGTAATTGAGTTCTGTCCAAGGAGATTGACTCTTAAACACTGTGCACATAGTTTTCATCCTTATCTTTTCTTTCATTGCTATATGTTCAACAGAAATACCACGATAACCAATTTTAATTGCAAATTTCTAGTAGCTACATTTTTAAAAATAAAAATAAACAGGTAAATTTTTAATAATTTGGATATACTTAGCAACACATTTCAAAGATCATTTTGGCATGTATAACATAAAAATTAAGATATTCTGCATTTAAAGGAATTAAGAGTTTGCATACTCTAACACAACTCAGTTGGGACTATCCAGAGTTCAAGGGCCCCATAGCCATAGTACAGTGGCTTACTGCACTGGGTAGTGAGTGCAGTTCTAGTGGTGGGGATAACCTGAGAGGGCAGAGCCAGTCAGACTGGACCCCTGAGAGACTAAGTGGAGTGAAGTCCCCTAAAAGACTGGTTCCTTGAGATCCTTGTTGGACAGAAGCATGCACAAGAAATAATGGGTGTTGTTGCAGAAGTTCTTAATAACCTTCCCCTACGAAACTCCCCTAGAAGTTTGGGAGATGTTGAATTAAGACAGCAAGACAGAGCCGTCAGTGCAGATCATAGTTTAATGTAGTTGGAGTTAGGAGGGAGAGGACATATGAGCTGCTGATATGAGGTTTATCACTGATGCATGAGGGAACTGAGGGACAGAGACAAAGCTAGAGCAGTAGTCAGATGATACTATTCTAGTACATCAAAAAGCAGCAGAAGGTAGCTTGGGAGTAAAGCTAGTGAGCACAGTTTGTCTCTGTTCACATTGAGAAGTCTATGGACTATTGGATCAAAGTTCAGTTTAGCACTGACTTTCTACCATGATCCATGTCAGGTGCCCCTGCTCTCAAGGGGCAACATATTGGTTAAATAAATAAAGCTAGTACAGTCTATAAGAATAATGATAAGGAACCAGGCGTTGGTGGCTCACACCTGTAATCCTAGCTACTCAGGAGGCAGAGATCAGGAGGATCGAGGTTCAAAGCCAGCCTGGGCAAACAGTTCATAAGACACTATCTTGAAAAATACCCATCATAAAAAGGGCTGATGGAGTGGCTCAAGGTGAAGACCCTGAGTTCAAGCCCCAGTACTATAAAAAAAGTAAAATGGTAAGGGCTATCCACAGTGCTCTTGGAGAGAAAAAAGAAAAGCCTAATCTAGGAATTGATGGGCTTGGAAGGCCCCCTAATGGAGATGACACCTAAGTGGATGAGCAGAGCAATGGGGCAAGGGCAGAGTGGGGAGAGTGGGCTGTGAATACAGGAACAGCAGAGGACAGGGTCCCAAGGGCATTCAGGCGGAGGAGGCTGCATGACACAGGCATTGAGGTCAACGACAGAATGGTGGTCACCCAAGCACCTCTTTACAACTGGAAAATAAAACACCATAGAGGAAGTCACATGAGATAAACAGAAGAAGGAACAGGGCAAAATTACAAAAGGCGATTTCTGTGACATTTGGCTTTTAGCATGGGTGGATGCTGGATCAAGAAGGGCAGGAACAATGGCAGGGAGAACAGGGAGGTGGCAACAATAATGGAGGAAAGAAATGAGAAGCGATGAAATCTTGAACCTGGGATATATGGTATTGATGAGAAGGAAAGAGGTCAGCCTGAGAATTTCTAGGAAGTGGAAAGACTGAGTTTTGTGATATTAGGACTGAGGAAGAGGAAGAGGAAAGAAAAGTCCAGAAGTCTCACAGTTCTAGCTTAGATGACTGGGTGAGCAATAATGAGGAAAAATGAAAATAGAGCAATAACAAGGCATGCCAGAGAATGGGGAGGTAGAAGGTGCTGTCGTTTAGATGTGATTTGTTTCCAAAGCCTCATGAGCTAGGAGCTTGTCCCCTAGTGTGGCAGCATTAGGAGGTGGTGGAACCTTTAAGAAGTGAAGCCTAGTGCCAGATATTGTAGTCGTGGCTTTCAGAAGTGAATAATGATGTCCCAAGAGATTGAATTGGGTCTCATGGGACTGTCTGAGAGAATGGGTTGTTATAGGCGAGGTGGGTACCTTCACTTGAATCCCTCCTTAGCATACATCCCTGCCACGTGAGGTCATCTGTCAGGAAGCCTTCACCAGCAGCCGAGCACATGCTTGTGCCATGCTCTTGAATCACCAGAATTGTGAACTAAATAATCTTCTTTTCTTTATTAAGTACCCAGCCCTCAGGTATTTTGTTATAACAACACAAAACAGACTAAGACAGAAAGAAACTGCCTCTTCTACTCCAAAAAATTTGCAGGAAAACCATTTAGTGTGAAATAATGATTCAAGCTCTCTCTCTCTTTCTATCTCTCTCTCTCTCACACCCACACCCACACACACCCTTCTTTTGTCCTCCCCCCCTTAAACAAAAGTGAAAAAGAAATTTTCTTTTCACCACTACCATTTAGGGAGAATAAAAATATGAACAGTGGGCTTTTAGTGATGCCTTTTAAACCATAAAGGGTATAAGAACCTGTGGATGGCAGCTGTCTATGAATAACCTGTAGGAAACTGGTGCCTGGGATGGCCATGAGACATGTCAGAGCACAGAGTGACATGAAAAGAGGGGGCTGGAGAAGCTGAGCCCAGGTTTTGGAATTAGGAGAGAAGAAGAGAAAGGTCATGGGCTTCCGAATGAAGCCGAGACATGCTGAAGGGATGGCTCTTCAAGAACCAGGGAGCCTGTGGGGCTGGCTAAGAATTTCCAGGGGCCCCCAGAAGTAGGGCAAGCAGCACACTGTGCCATGGATGGGATGATTATGATTCAACACTTGAAACTACTCTGGAATTGAATGTGACTCAGTTTTTATTTTACTTGGGCTGAACTTATCTCATATTTGAAACGTGTTCTGCCCCATTGGTTCTTTTCTGTGACCTTGTGTGCATTGGATCAGACAGAGGCCAAGTCTGAGGGGTGTGGATCAAGGAGAGAAACACTTTCCTCTGTTGATCTCTGCTGGGCCTTAATCTTCAAAGGAAGCCTGAATTTGTGCTGAAACCCTGGACATCCTAGTCTGAAAATGGTGTCTCCTCTCAGCATTTCCTCTTTCATGTCAAGCTTCAGGTTATATTTTTGGGAAGCTCTCTTATTTTTCCCATCTGATCTTTAACAATGATATGCCGCATTCCCAGGGCTGTTATTATGTTAATGTATTTAAGCACTTGGAATGCTTCTGTTCACAGCATTGCCTAATCATACCAGAGCCCTGTCCTCTATGGTCTGGATGGTATGTGCATCTATGAGCTTGGACATGGATGGTTCGAGGGTGATGTTTCTCAAAGGCATATCTTGTGCCATATCAGTACATTTGTACACTCTTCCAAATAGAGAAGAGCCGAATTTACCGGAGTACAGATGCCCCTCAGTGTCTTTGGGTGATTCACGACAGGACACCCCTCCCCACGATATCAAAATTTACAAATGCTCAATCCCTTATGCAAAGTAGTAGCCTTTACATATAACCTATGCAAATCCTCCTACATATCTTAAATCATGTCTAGATTACTTATAATGCACCCCCCATGCAACTGCTATGAAAATAGCATTTATACGGTATTGATTAGGGAACAATGACAAGAAAAACTGTATATATGTTCAGTACAGATGAAACCATCATAGGCCTACATTTTTTGTCTCCAATGGACTGAATCTGAGGAACTGGCCCCTACAGATAGGAGGCCTACTATGCTTTTAATGAGAAAGAATAAGAAAACAATTTTTCTTTCCAAATTTTATTATTACAAAGTGATTTTATTACAAGAGAATGACAGAACAGAGTTAGGCTTGCCATTTCTATGAAACCTCAATAATTTAAAAAAGTTAAGTTAATAAATATGGAACTAGGTCTAGTCTTTCTTTTAAGCCACATCAGGCACTTCCAAGAGGAGAGAAATGTTATATCCATACATTGTAAAAACTTGGAAAATTTTAACTGCCATTAATTCTATCTAGGATTTCCTTAGACAAAGCTGATAAGTCTCTAAAGACTTAAGAAACATAAATAGATCCATAAATAGCTCATATAAATAAAGGTTTTATCATTTAAATAATAAAATTCTCATGTCTTGAATGTTCTCTTTTTTAAAAAGAGTACAAAATAAGGCAGGTAATTCGTCAAAATGAAATATTATGACCCAAAGTTATATTAGGGCATATTAAATACATAAATAACTTAAAACCCTTAGACAACTAAACAAGAAGCAAATTGATACTCATGCTAAACCTTCCTTCTCAGGAAGATGGACAGATAATTCAGATTCTATTTTTGGACCAGCACTGCCTCCCAAGTGCCACTCAGATGACTTGTTTTAAGAACGCTAGTGAGTTTAGCTAGAAATGGGGCTGGTCTTTAATGGATGAGGGTTTCTGAGGGGCAGGGACTGACCCTAACTGCTTCAGGGAGTCATGGGTCTGACCCACAGATCTTAGGACATGTGGCGGACAATGGGGGTGACACAGGTGCAGCCCACAGCCACCAGCATCTTCTCCAGTCGGAAGGAGGTGGGGCAGTTCTGAGACTCCCTCCGCAGGACCAGGATCTCTTGCTGGATGGGGACAGAGTTCATGTGGTGGTCCACCTTCCCATCAGCTGTGATGCAGCCCAGGTGGCGGCAGTTTGCCTCCCAGATCACAGAGGGATATCTCTCAGGGTCCTCGTTGCGGCTGCAGGGAGACAAAAGTCAGGGGAAAGTGAATCCCTGGGAAAATAGGAAGAAAATCAAGCAGGAGTGAACAGAATGAGGCAAATTATAAATTTGCCTCATTTACATTTACAAATGCTAGACATTGCCAAGTTTATGTTCTGTTAGTCAGAAGGAGAACTTTGTGCAGTGCTGGAATTGAGACAGTGCCTTGCTTGTGATAGGGTGATAGGCACCTGTTGTACTACTGAGAAGTACCCCCAGCTCTGAAAACTTGGATTTTAAATGTGTGTGAAATGTTATAAAAAAGGGAGCAATGATCAGTTTTTCCTAATTTCTTGGAAGGAGGAACAAAATAAGGTAAAGACCACAGAAAGGACTTAAACTTGACACAAAGAATACATTGTTAGCATACATCTGATAGTAGGAAAAAGACTCAGGGGAAGGCAAATTTGGAACCCTCTAGCAATAAGATAGGTATTTGTTTGACTTGATGAAATCTGTCTTTGAAGGAAGGACATCAGAAATTCATCTGAGAGGACTTTTATGAGATAGAGCCCAGAGGTAGTATGAAAGCCTGGACAAAAACTTAAGACTTAATATCTTCTCATATTTCCTTCACTCTAAGAGTTTTCTTTACTTTTGAAAAGATGTATCTTAACTACTCTTAGTAATGGGAAGAGAAGAAATCCTATAGTCAGATGAATCTGCAGGTTCCTTATAATTGAGGCTTATTTGCATAAAATCAAATGATCAGAATATATTTTGTGCTTAGTCCTTGATGGGGGTCTAAATATTGGGTATATCAAGGATACAGAAAGCATAGATGTCCTGGGGATGTAGATCAAGACTACATAACTCAAAAAAGAATAGAAAGAAATACCCAACGTGATCCTTCCTCCACCCGGAATCAAGTTATAATTTCCCAGTCTTTAAATGAACCTCCCTCCTGCGACAAACAAAAAAAGCTTATCTAAATATTAGTTATTTTAAATGTCTTCTCAATTGTAGGTATCGTAGAGAGATTTCAAGCATTAATTCTCTATGATAAATGCTGAATTAAAAAATAATAGACTTGAGTTATCATAAATTTTAGAATTATGGTTATCATTGATTCACGTTGACATTTTGTTGTCTGTTATAGGGTGAGGTGTGCTGTGCCCTGTCAAAGAACTCTGCAGAATGAAAATTTGAGATTCACTGCTCAGCGCAATGGCCCTTCCTGGTTTTGCTGATGACTCTGAGTGGTTAAAACTGTGGTCAGGTTGACTAAGCTGGCAGTCAGATGCATAGGAGAGTTGAAGAACAGACATTTTATCTGGGGTCCTTACGTACTGGAGATTCCAAGGAGAAGTGGATCGGTTGTAGTAGTCTGAGGGCCTTCTGGAATTCACTCTGGGGCTCAAGGTGTTGAGGATGCTCAGGTTGACCTTCACGTTCTGGAGGAAGCTCTTGTCATCAGTGTTTGGACATCCTGGGTTTCGTGGGATTGGTATTCCTGCCTTCACTATAGCCATCAGACTTAGCAACAGCAGCAGTGACTGGAGCTGAATGGGAAAGGAGGGAGAAGGGAGACTGCATTAACAGGTGGCTTTGTTGACAAATGCATTGCAATGTGGATTGTATTGCAAGCCACAGAAACATACTGTATTCTAAGATGGTCTATACTAAAACTTCAGATCAGGAAAATAGAAGAATGAAACCTGTTGAAACTGTTCTAAGAAGGGACAGAAGGAGGAAGAGGGAGAAGGATGGAGGGAGTAAATCCAACTAATACATACTTTAAGCACATATGTAAATATCACAGTGCATCCCCTGAACAACTATTATATGCTAACAAAATCATAAAAACTACTTAGGGGCCGAGGATGCAGCTCAGTGGTAGAGCTTTTGCCTAGCAGGCAAAACTAACCAACCAAACAAAAAACTGCTTAGATGACCAAAAGCACGTTAAAAAAGTATGGATTTATTAAAAAAAAACAGTTTTCATCATTCTTATTTTGTCTTAGGAAAGATATGTTACTTTTACTGGCCATAATTTCAGTAACAATGTCCAGCCTATGTTGTCAGCCTGTCAGCACACACATCATTGGCAGGTCAATGGTGAATAAATGACTTTGGTTTTTCGAGAGGAAATGTCCTCTTGTATCTCTGTACTCAGTCTTATCATTCTGTAAAATCCTATGTGAAGTCAAATATGCACTTTGGAGGAAAGGATTATTACAGAAAAGCCACATGGTATCAGTATTCATGTTAGAAATGCTGTTTTTACCGCTGGCAAACATCCAAATAAAAACTGGATCCTTCCTAGGTTTTCTTAGGTGTATTTTCTGGCTCTTTCTTAGGTGTATTATCCTGCAATGATTCTGTAATAAAATTGGATTTCAAAAAAGATTCTCTACATTAAATATTTTAAACATATGAAGTCCATTTATTCTAAAGTACAGTTATATATACCTCTAATTAGAATAAGAGTTTTGATGTACCAAGTCTATGGTATAAAATAATGGAAACATTACTCTATAGCCTCTATATTTTTGACATCCTCAAGGATTGCAATCCATTTTATTAAGGATTAAAGAAAGATGTCACAGGAGAGTTACATTAAATACTTTGTACTCAGGAAAACAGACTCAATAAACATTCTTACTAATTGTACAGCATCATGTGACATTTCTTGTGTGGTTTAGCCTCAATATGGCTATCTTGCAGTTTTAATCTTATCTTTCAAACTGATGTATATCAGCTTTTAAGAATTCTGTACAATGGTTTAGATTTCTAGCAAAGATTTCACTTCAATCCTATATATATGTAGCATTCATGGACCATCTGTACAGATACAGTATTCATGGATCTCCATAACTGGAGTCTATCATTTCACACCACATTCCAGAAATATGACCTGGTACCAATCAATGAGCAGTTGCATGTTAGTGTAGAACTCACCACAGATGAAGTCCTCCCAGGAGACATTGCTGCTTCTGATCAGCTAGGGTTGAGTGAGCTTGTACCTTTGTACCTGCTGTGAGGTGGACAAAGTGTAGTGTTACAGTCTCTCTTTTTATAGAGCTTTGCTCCTTCTGTGGTCACTTACGTTGGTGTCTCAGAGTGGGTTTGGGGGTGACACCATTTTGGTTAAAAGTTCCATCCCCAAATGAGGTCAGAAAAGAACCGCCCCCTTATGACGGGTAATATCTGCTTCGAAAGGAAAATGGGAAGGGCAGAAGTTCACGTTTCTAAAGACTGTGTCCTTTCTTCATTCTTCAAAGAACTGTTACTTGATGAAAGTTGAGCAAAGATGCCTTGCTATAGGTCAGTATCATGCATTTATCTGAAGCTGCCGTAGAGGTATGCTCCATCTTAATGGGTCATGGGAAATAAAAGCTTGACATCACATATAGGTCTTATGGCATTGTGTATCTTGATTTCCTTCTTGATCTTTTTTTTCCTCATTAGATTTGCTGGGCAGATGTGGAGACAATTCTAGCTCTCAAGGTCTGGTTACTTAAGATTCTGCTATATAAACAAACAAAACAAAATAATTTAATGATGATAATAGGATATTATATTTATCTGAATTTAGCTGTTTTTTCAATGTCTGCTGTGCTCAAGAAACTAATAACTATTCAAGGCATGTCTCCCACGGTATGCTATCAAGCAACTTGCTGATATTTGGTGTTTTGAGGCTCCATCTTATGCAGTTCTTTAAAGAGGAGTGAGATGGAGATGAAAGGATAAGAGAGAGTGGGGAAGGAATTGAAAATAGAGATGGAGACTGAAGAAATGTGATAAAGCTCGAGAAAATGAAGCAATGTGGAATAGACAGTAATAAGAGCAAAAAAGGGAGAGAAGGAAAGGAATAAGAGGGAAAAAGAAGGAAACGGCTCTCTCCTTTTCTTTCTACTCTCTCAGTGAGGTGACTGTTGACTTCAGGTCCCCTTCAGGAACACAGGGCCAGGGCAAGGAAAATAAAGCAGGGGAGAGGGAAAAATCAGCGAATACTGATTTGACTGGCTACATGTCACTATTCCCTGCTTCCCACCCCAGTGAGGTGAGCAATGAGTCCCAGCCCCTCAGCTGTATCTCCTAATCAACATGATAACGCAGAGAGGCTGACCCGCAGTTGGAGTGTGGTGTAATAAAGCTTGCTGGATTCTGGGCCTGTTTGCCCTGACCTCTGTTCTTCCCTGTCCTTCTCTGCTGTACCTGTGTTCTTAGATTCCCTTGTCAGCTGGATTTCATGTGGGCTTAGCCAAAGGGACATAGGAGGGCAGAAGAGTAGGAGAAGGGACCAGAGAGGGGAAAGAGGGGTTTGTGGCTTCCTCCTTCTGGCTCCTTAAGCCCCTTCAGCCTTAGGGTGGTAGTTGCCCTTCCTGACACCAATCTCAATTGCCAGTGTAAGCATTTCCCTGAGTCAAATTCCATTTGTTATAAAAGCTTGACTTGCGTTCTGTTTCCTGGCTACATTAACCCTGTTGGATCTGTGAGGGAGGCCATGAGCAGCTGAATTGCAGTGGGGATGATAGATGACCTGGTTGTGAAGTAGACACAGATAAAAGAAGAAGAAGAAAGATACGGTTTCAAATGATTTTCCTTAGTTCTGGTGTTGACTTACCATCTACCTACACTGGAAGGCAGGAGTCACTGTGGGCCCTCCTGACCATCCTTTAGGTACCGTCAAGTTCATCTCAGAAGCTGCAGCATCTCTCACATCTACTCCTTATTTCCAGGCTGCTGCTGTCCCTCTAACTCAGACTTTTGCTCACTGGGACTGTTTGGACAGCTGCTGTTGCTTTCCCCAGTTGCTATTCTCAGACTATTTCTAACATTTATGCAGTAACGATTCTCAAAGCATGGCTCCAATTATGCTTTTTCTTGTCCTATTATCTTGCATACTGAATGAAATGTGCACTTAGCATTTGAGTTAGTGTTTAAGTTTTTGCAGACTTCCTTCCTGGTCTAACCTCCTTCCAGGCTCCATGCTAGAGTTCACGGGACCCAGATTTTCTTCCTGGCGCCCTTCTAAAACCTATACACCTTTTGTTAAAGTATTATTTCTGAATGCCTTTTTTAATCCTCAGGGTGTCAGAATTCTGCTTGTCCTTTAACATCCTGCTTAAATATTTTCTCTAGGTCTGGAAGTCTCTCCTGATGGACTCAGTGAGAATGAATCCCTTCTCCCGTTAAACAGTAATTTCATTGTGTACTGTGTACTAGCTTTAAAAGGTATGCTTGAGATATTTGTGTATTTCCACCTTTAGCCTTCAAGGACAGAGTATTATTCATCTTTTTAGTTCCCATCATGCCTAACGAAGCCTTTTACATGATACAGGTCTTCATAGATTGCTTTTGTTTTGCTTGTTCCTCTCTGGTAAGTGCTACAAGGGTATAGCCTATTCTGGACCTCCTAGAATGGAGATTTCTTCTAGTTGCTTTCTGTTGAGGATGATGGGGAGGGGAATGTGTTTGCTGCCAGTTCTTCTGGTTGATGGTGAAGGGGAAAAACTGACTCTTGTCATTCTCTCTAGTCTTGACTCCTGTGCCAGTGAAAGTCAATCCATGTGCTATCCTTTGAAATGTCAATCCTTGCTTTAAAAAAATGGGGAGGGAAACAGGTGGCTTTTCATAATAGTGTAAAAATGATCACAACTGTTGTAACCAGTTGTGAGTAGGACTGAATTTCCAGACGCACTTTGGATCTGGAAGCCTTTGCCCCCTGGAGGAGCAGGTAGAAGCACAAAGAGGGTGTTGAGAGTGCATGGGGCTCTTCCTCGGTATTTGCTGCAGAGGCAGCTGGCTCAGGTTTGGTCCTAGTCTTTTGAGGTAGAAGGAAGGCTGAGTTGAGAATGAGTTTGCCTCATTCTAGGTAATGGTATAGCTTTGTCTTCATTGTGACTCTGCCTCTTTGAGACTTAGTTCAATGCCTTTGGGAGGCCTAGTTTTCTGCTTTATAAAATGAATTTTTGTACTAAGTAATCTTTGATTGTGTATGACTTTTTGGAGAAAGAAAATAGTAAAGAATAAATGGGAGCACTAAATTAGGGAGGATTATTTTGCTTAGTGATTGCCTTCAGGATTATTAGTCTTGCCTTTTGGAGGGCTTGAAACAGACAACAAGCAGTGGGGAACTGCAAGTTGGGAGTGATGGTAGAAGAAAATGTGTAAATACAGGCTGGAAAGTATTTTCAGCAGTCAAAAACACGTTTGAAGGAATGATAGCCGTGAAATATTTGTGGGCTTCTTGTTTTAAGAAAATGAGTTTTAAGACTTCTTGAAATTACTAGATCCTTAAACACTATTCTTTCCTTTTTATAATAGAGAATACTATGAAGGATGGAAGAAAAATTCTTACTTTTGTATCTAGAAGAGGGTATTGTAGAGTCTTTCGACTCAGTGTGGTGAAAAATTAAGACATTGCTAAAAATATAAAATATAAAAGACAATTTTTTTATTTCTTGCTTAGGTGGTAAGGTTGCCATTGAGAGACAATTGTTTCACTAATTTCTATTCTACAGACTTTAAGTAAAAAATAATAATGGTTTGGTTTGAAGGAGTCACTGTACTGCTATTAGTGATGAGAGCATATTATCATTTAAAGACCATGGCTCTTTGAAGAGGCGGGTGCTATTTTGTTTACCGCTGTGCCCATCATCAGATAAAACTTCTCCATTGATCTTGATGTACTTACTGTAGAGAGGGTAGCAAGTGACTGCAAAGAATTCTCTTGGGTTTCAATGTAGGGGCTGATACATTGAACCTGGGCCCCCACACAAGGAACAAAGTCAAACAAACACTTAAAAAGAAGACATGATGTTAAGGGAAGAGAATATTTGCAACAGCAACAACCTAGAAGGCCTTGGGGGAATTGGTAAAGCCAGGATTTAATTGAGATCTAGACTGAGACCCAGTTTATCAGGTCTAGGTCACCTACCTCAACTTGCAGATATTAATATGGTATTGTACCAGTGGTTATCTCTGAGGGTAAAAATATTGTCACGTGAGAAATTTAATACATATGAAATCAACATGGTTTATTAAGTAGGAAATGTCAGTCTTACTATCAGCTTGAGGTATCATTGCTCTTCTCTCATGTCACACTTTATGTATCTGAGGGCCATCCTGAGCAATGAAACGATGGATGGACACATGCCAGGGATGGGTACAAGATTCATCTGGTATCCCAGGAGGAGGAAATTCCCTTCCTTATGTGACACAATGAGAATTAAAGGCAACATTAACAATGAGGTTGTTTTAACAGGGTGGTTGCCAGTGGGCTGGTGAGGGCTGAGAGATGGGAAGCAGATTCCTGTTTTAACACTTACATTCTGTTTTCTCACTGTTGGTCATTCCGATTCTTGGTGGATATTCTCTCTTGATAGGGGAGATTATTATAAACAGTTCCTTTGAGTAATGCCTTTCTTTCTCTTACTGTTGCTTTTGATGTTTCTCCTAGTTTAGATCCAACTATTTTTGTCTGATGAAATCAGATCACAAAACTGTTTGACATCTTTAAAATCTGAACTTTAATCTGTGGCTATGAGAACATTGAACAGCTGATACATTATCCACGTGAAGTGTCTGACTGAAAGGCCTTCTGCCCTTGGTGAGTTTTGAATAGTGTAGGGTGCCTTTATCACTTTGATAAAGGAGGTTTATTTTAACATATCCACTTTGCCAGCCCCACAGCATGGAGATAATGTCTGGAAGATGAGTAAGATGCCAAACCATGCAAGAAGGAAGATGCGTCACATCACGTCATCACAAAACGACCACAATCTATCGGTGTTTCTCCAATTCCTACATCAAAACCCAGCCAAACAGGCCATATGAGGATGTCAGTTTCTCCTTGAGTAATTATAGGTACTGACCTCATGGAAACCAGAGTCTTCCTTAGTGAGTTTTTCACTAGTAGTTTACTGAAACATTGATTTAAAGTGGGTCAGAAAACTTTCCATTTTTTTCAAACTAATAGA